TTCAGTTCCCACAGAAGGGAAGCCAGGGCGCTAGGGCGAACTTGCTGTGCTGATAACAAGGCTTGTAAGAAGGCAAGGTAACACAAGACAAGTCCGCAGGCAGATGTGATTCAAAAGTGGAACATCAAAGTCCGCAACGACAAGACAGCGTCGCCGGGTGCGAATGCTATGGGCCTTCTCGAGATCTGACTGCGCTCTTCTCTGGAAGATGGATCTCTGGGAGATGGAGGACGGGGATGGCGTGCGCACCCCCTGTCGACGACCTTGCCAAGCTTGCTCACTGTTACCGCCCCCGGCCGAAGTGTCCCGACCCACCAACTCAAACCCACCAACCCACCTCAGACCTTGCGCTTTTCCGTGCAAGATCCAAGCAATCGAGCATCGTTGTCTTGCCTCCTGAATCAGTTGTCGAACAAACGAGGCTCTGACAGCTGGGCTCGATGGTACGGGTGACGGCAGGCCGCGCGAGGTATGCACATAGGAGATGGATCACAACAACCTACTCATTCCAGCTGGTATCATACCCTGGCCGTGTCTGTTTGTCTGTCTCTCTCCCTCTTCGCATTTCGTGCCTGGCCTAGGTAAGCTGACCTGGCTGGCTCGCTGGCTCGCTGGCCGCGAACCCCAGGTCGAAAATTCGGGGCCGCGCGCCGTCATGATCAATCATGATGAGCGCCTCTCGCATGGTCGCTCGACCAGTGGAGAGACGAGGCCCTGGGACGTGTGAGATGAGATTCCTCATCTGCCCGCAGATTCGCTCAGATTGTGCTGACCCTCAGAGCCATCGGTGTCTTCTATTGTCCCGAGCACAGCAGTGGTCGTCCAATGAGCGAGCCTCGGCACGGTGGGTCCCGGGATCGCCTCCGCAAACCTGGGATGCGGATGAAATGGCTCCCGCTGGTGGGTTAGGGGGGTGTGCGTGCTGTGAAGGGCCTCCCTGGGCACGTTGAAACCACCTACCTCGACATGGAGAGTGTTGCGGCTGTTTGTTTTGGGTCAGGGACGGGACAAGGGAAACAAGAGCAGCGCGAGAGAGAGGAGAGAAGCGCTGGAGGCTCTTATCAAGGTTGCTGTTTCGTTGGTCGAAAACATGCTCGGCTCGTCTCACGCAGCTGTCGTCCGACTGCACCTGTCAAGCGCCACGCGAGCAACAATGAGCAAGTTGAGCATATTGAGCATGTTGAGCATCTTAAGCATGTTGGGCGTGTATCGACAGGGCAGGTAGGTATCAACAGGACCATGCAGCGAACGAACCGATGGAAGGGGGAAGGGGTGGGCACCTCACTGCAGGCGCCGTAAATATGGCCACCCAATGGATCGCTAGGCTGACAGGTAGGTACCTACCAGCCTATATCTAGGTGGTAGGTACTATGTGCCTAGGTGGTAAAAGCGAGCAAATTGTCGAGAGCCGCAAGCGAGGTTGTCCCCCGTCAAGTGGGGCCACTGCCATGCGGTGCGCGCAGGCTCTAGGCTCTAGGCCCTGGGACTTTGGAGCTGCTGGCGCTGGTGCTGGCACTGTAGCACCTAACGAGTCCTGGTGCCGACGGCCTCAGTGGTCTTGTACCTCGCTCGTCTCCACTCTCTTCTCGGGGTCTTCGATCGACCCGAACCCGGTATCAAGCCCGACTCTCGTACAAACCAAGTCGCTGGCGATGCTTGGTGCCATCTGATGATGGCATGCCGCCTGCGCACCATCTTTCGGGATCGCGACAATCTGCCTTTTTTCGCCCCTCCGCCCCCCCTCCCCTTGAACCCACCGTCCGCCGCACATGGCTCGCTCATCACCCACACACCCACCAACCCACCGCAACCCACCAAGAAGCAGAAAACCCACCAGACAGACACAAGCGCCTGTCCCTGCGGCCTGCGGAACGCGAATTGTTCGCCGACGGATCCATGCCTGGGGCGGGCCAAGACTCCGACCAACAACAAATTTTCTGGACATTGGCGATGATCCTCCACGTGTAAGCTTATCAACATGCCATCTTCTCCGCCGCCGCACGGGTTCTTGCAGAGGCCCGAAAACCACTTAAACTCCGGCTCGCTCGAACGCGGGTCCGTGGAGGGCGGGAGGGACAACTTAGTACCTACACTTCGTAGGCTCACAAGCCGGGAGGCGGCTGAGACCGTTACCAAAGAAGCAACGGCCTGGATTGGCGACGACATGCCCACGCCTCCTCTCTCTCAGCCAACTTCATCTTCGTTTCTTGTTTAACGATTGTTTTCCTTTTGGGGAATTTTTTTGGAGAAAAAAAAAATCGTTGCGGGATCGTCTTGGTTCGAGTCAAGCTCGGCGTGCCACTGCCAGCACGCTGACGAGAGATAAATGCTGACCATGCTCACACGTCCCTTGCGCTCGTACTCGTGCTCGTGCCCGTCACCATTGGACTCGCTACAGAGGCAATACTGTGCTCTGCCCCGCCCTCCTTCGCTTCGCGGAAGGCTTCGGGGGTCCCGAATTTTGTCCGGCGCGCGGCAGGGACCTCCTTCTGCGTGACCCCTTCCTGTGCTTCCCACCTCTAATAAGGCTGACGCTGGCGTGGCCACTAGGAACCCGCGTATTCGGGTCCTGTAGTCCTGCGTGTGCGAGGGCCTGCCGCCGAAACTTCCCAGCGCCTGAACGCTCTTTCCGTGCATGTCGGGGTACCTAGGAAGGTAGCCGAGTCGGAAAAATGTGACGAGGCCTGGCTGTTCTGGCAGAATACAACAGGCAAACAAAAAGGGGGGGGAACATGCGTCCGGCTATCCGTTCTCCCGATCACAAAGTCCCCTTCGAAGCCCCAACGTACGACACGGCATTCCTGCTCCCCGAAGTCTGGTCTCTGCACGGTGGACGTTTAGATTGCCGAGCTCGTCATGGACAGGCCGCAGTGCGCCAGGATTTACAAAGTCGTCCGAGACGCTGCTGACTTGCCTGCTGCAGTTTTTGTTGACGAACTTGACTGGGTACGTGTGTGTACAAGTATGCAGTGCTTCGAAATTGTGGGGGCCTCACGTTGCGAAAGCGATTGCGAAGAGATCGACATTTGGTGTCGCAACGAGTCGAGCTCATCGACGGAATTATACCCAGGTGGCAACAGATGGCATTTGTATTGCAACGTCTGGAGACGGCCGTGTTGGAGAAGGCTCCGAAAGACATCTAGCGATTGAATGTCTCCTATTTGTTCGTTTCAACTGTGCCATATCTGATGGACTGCGACTCGCACTTCCATTTCTTCATTTTAATTTGTACGACTGCCCAAGGTAGGCTGAAGTTTCTCTACTTCGTAAGCCAGTATAATGAGCACCACGATACGAATCACATAAGACCTCAAGCAAACAGGAAAAGAATTAGAAAACAGCAGGATCGTCAGACTGAAATTTCAATCTTTTTCGTCGAGATATATGGTCATCTCATTCCAATGACGGCAGCACAATTTTGCAGCGGAAATTCATGTCACACCTACTCCAATTTTCAAACCTGGATTGGTGTTTGGGATGCATTGTGCATTTTTTTCCAGTACCTCATCAACTCTTGCCTTCATTTCCGGTGCCTGATGCTGAGGCGCGAGCAGCAGGTAAAACTAGGTAACAGAATCAAACTGAAGTCGATCACATGTCAGGGGCTGACTTCAGACTTGCACCTGCGTCGCCCTGTCGAAATCGGACGCGGAGACGACACGAACTCCGTGTCCAAGGAAATAGCCATCAGATCGGTACCCTGTTTTCCTGCTTGGGGAACACAGGCCCATATGCCTAAGAGGCGAACGAAGAAGTACCTGTTGACGTTCTGATCTCATGATGCTGAAACCCATGCCTACATGTTTGGCGCGGATGCGTGTTCGGTTAAGGTGCATGCGTAATGAACCTTGGAACGCCCTGGAAGAAGCAATGACCCATTCTGACCAGACATGTATTGTGCTCAGTTCCCGGACTCATCTTGCGGCCCGGACCGAGCTCAACAAACTGCGCCAGCCCGACTTTGGCAGCGCTACAGTCCTTTGGGGGTCATTTGAAAACGACACAACAGCCATGCTCACAGTTGAACGCTGGCTCGTAACGGCCTCTGGTCAATGCCTGTATACCTTACAACAGGGGATTCTCCATTGCACGGGCTGCAAGAAGGAGCTGGACTATTCCATCCGGGACGTTTCCATGCCGCTGACTCATACGGCTGCGTCGTCCGACGTTGGAGGTTACGTATTGCGTGTTCAGTTGTGAGCACTACCTTGAATGGAGCATGTTCAATCACGTATCGGGTGCCACGCGAACACCACAATTGACATGTCCTGCATCCCCTTCTCGCAAATCCTCACTGAGATATCATAAGCGGTCGTGTAGCTCTGAGCTGCACAGCCAACGTGCGCACCTGCCACATCCATACCCCAGGCGGACCCTTGGCCGATCAAGGGGGCTTATGTCACCCTCAATGTCTGGTTGTCGTGACTCGACAGCGCATGTTAGTATCGCGCGAGATATGTTGCTGGCCCCTTAATTCTGTCTGTTTGACTCTGGTGTAGTAAACATGGAAGGTCGCGCCGAGTCTGCGGGTACTGCGTCGAGGCAGAAAGAACCGAGACATGCGCAGTACGGCCGGGAGTGTTTAGTATTATGAACATGGGGGGTTGGACTAGGAATTCTCGTCCGTGGACTGGAATGTCGACGGGTGCTTGAATTGTGGGCACCACAGGCTGCTGGTCTTATCTAGGGAATCCCTTTCGCATGAGGTCTTGAAACTAACATAGGTTTCGGGATGGAAGTCCCTGGTCGAGTGTAAGGCAGGGATACGTTGAGTCGCAGCGTGGTGTATATTAACACAAACAGTATGCGAGGTCAAGAAAGAAAGGATAAACAAAAGAGAAATATGCCGTTCTCTCATGAGTATTCTCTAGCTTGCGTTCGGGCCGACCTGTTGGTACACATTAAAGAATACCAGGGCGCTCATGAGTCTGATGAATTGAACAAAAAAAACGATCCCACCTTCTTTTGACGCGCGTGCTCGCTGCTCGGTATAAAATGCCCTCTCCTGGCCGCCTTATTGGAGTGATCGCACAGCCTGCGCTGAGCTGCTTCCAGACGGTTGATCTCTACTGGTGGACGGACATGTGTGGCACCATGAACGACAACCCGGCATCGAATTACCACTTTGATACATCAACCAGCCTCACAGTGAATGCACCCGTACAAGTGTAAAATTGATGCCTTACCGTCAGTGCAGATATTCAAACATCAAAATGAATCGTGTGTGGTGGTGTCAGGAGGAGCAGAACCATGGCACAGGGGGCGGATTAAGGGCTTGGGACTACGGGAACGCGTATATAAGGGCTGCAGAGGGCCAGAATTCAGATGTCTTCTATCCCTTCCTAGTATCTATTGTCTGCGGGCCAAGTGCGGAAGACCTCTTCACTTTGCTCAATCCCACGTTCGGCCGGTGAATGGAGGCACGGCCATGCTACTGCAAGTCGTCCAGCCCCTCTTGCTCGACAGCCAGCCCCCCTGATGTCGTGCCGTAGCACTTGGCACTTCCCGATGATGCCCTGATATCCTGCTGAAGACAGTCTCTTCTATGCCAGGCCCAACTACCCTGGAGGAATCCAATGATGAAGAGCGTCCTGGTCGCGTCAGTCAGACAATTGCAGAGGGAAGAGCATGGAAAACCGTACCAAAGGGCTCCAAATCCACACAGAACGTCAACAAACCCATTGAACGCAGAAGAGGGCTCCTTGTCTCCTGCCAGACCAACCGAGGCGGCTAGGACGATGACGCCACAGAATGTCGCGAAGAGTGATCCGGCTGCCTGGACGCTCAAGTGAAACGTGATGCTGAGGCACCCAACAAGATGCATAAGGAGCGTCGATATCGAGAGGCTGAAGAAGATCAGGAGCGGCAGGAGACAGAATTCGAGCAGTCTACTACTGTCAGCTACACCGCGTAAGCCCTGTAAGATGGCCGAGCATCACCTGTTCCAACTCTCAAATCCGTCGTCGTCAGTCTCTTCCACGGCGCTGCAGCCTACCAGACCAATTTCCCCGAGTATGACGAAGGACTGTGCCAGTAGAACGGCAGAATACAGTTCGCCTTTCAGATAAGATCCGGCATCGTCTTCGTGGCTGTGGCTGCTACCAGAGCCCGCTGAGTTGCTGCGGCCATGGCGAGATGTCCCATTATCGCTCTGTTTTCGACCCTCGCTCCTTTCTTCGCTGGAGTGCTGGCTCACGGGCCGATTACTCGACTTTGTTGGCGAGACGATCGGCAGCGAAGCTCTTGATCCGTTCCAGATCTGATTTTCATAGCCCTGAAACCGCCCTCGAGAGAGGACAGTCAGAAGAGTGAATTGCGCCAGGCTATTCATGGTGGACTTGTAACGGCGCGGTTTGGTGTTTAGGCACCCGCATTCATAGCATGACCATGGGAAAAGCGACCAGATGTCGAGTCCAACGTTGCGAGGCATCTGCGAGGCCTTTTATCAGGTGCATTATCGCTCTTCTCACACTCTGTCACGCGTCGTTTGGCAGCGGTCATGGTGGAAGCATGTGAGCCTCCCGAAACGGCAATACCTCACATGATGTCTGGGATCTGGTTCGCACGCTGGTGACCCCAACTGCAGGCCCTCATTCGACTTGGGGGACTAGAAGCTAGAAGAACAAATGATGAACTGGGACCCGTGTGCTTTTGTGTAAGACTGGCCCCCTTCCTACATGGGGCGTGACGCATCCTCAGCTCGAATCGCCTCGAGCAGCGCAAGTTGTTTGATTTCGAGTCAACGCCCCGGCTGAACAATGTCGGACATGCAGCAAAGACTGGAGCCCATGGTCAACACAAGAATAATCATTTCATTACCACTAAAATGTCGCATCGCGATGCAGACACCCACGAGGTCATGTACCATGTCAACCGCAATACAGCACACCCTCACTGCCGCTGCGACCGCCGCTTGCACTTGCGCTTCGTATCCGTGTCGAGCACAGCAACCGACAACTCGGGCAGCGTAAAGGCAAAGACGCCATGCTCATTCGCCACGAGATCAACGACCTGCGTGTCCACAACGTTCACGCCGGTAAAGGGATCGTTGTAGGCATACGGGTCGGCGCTCGGGTTCGAGAGCACCGTCAGGAGCGCCCTGGCGCCGGCGTCGACGCCCTCAAAGGCGACCGTGACGGGCACGTCGGCGCCGTCGGTCGTGTTGTAGACGGCGGCCTTCCAGATGAAGCTGCCGGCGCGGTCGTTGCGGCCGGCGACGTAGAAGAGCGGGTCGAGGGCGCCGGCGGCGGGCAGCGTCCGGGTCATGGGGTGGGCGGCGAAGAGCTCCCAGAGGTACCAGCTCGTGGAGCGCGTGGTGAGGGCGGCGTCGGCGGCGAACTGGACGAGGGTCACGGCCCACTGCCAGCGGTTCATGTTGCGCAGGACGGGCGCGTAGAAGGTGCCGGGGATGCGGTCGGCGTTGCGCTCGTAGCCGATCATGGACACGGCCTCGCCGACGGTGCCGATCCACCAGGGGAAGGGGTGCAGGCCGCCCTCCCACGAGGTGCCGCCGTTGGGGTGCGTGGCGGCGACCTCGCCGACAATGTGGCCGACGTCGTTGTCGAAGCGGTCAAACTCGTCGACGAGCGCGTCGGGCGTGCGGTACGGGTGGTAGTCGCCGATGGCCGGGGCCGGGATGTCGTGGCCGTCGGAACTGGCGCCCGAGGCGATGACCTGAATGTCGGGGTAGCGCTCGTTGATGGCCTCGAGGAACATGGGGAAGCGGTATTCCTTGTACGACTCCCAGCCGGCGGCGCCTCCGGCGAGCCAGTCCTCGTTGCCGATCTCGACGTAGTCGAGCTTGAAGGGTTCAGGGTGGCCGAGCTCGGCACGACGGGCCCCCCACTTGGAGTCGGCAGGGCCGCGGATGAACTCGATTTGGTCAAGGGCATCGTCGATGAAGGGTTGGAGCTTGTCCTTGGGCGTGATGTCGCCGTTGAGGGCCAGGCCAGCCCATACGCCAATGACTGTCATGTGTTAGCAGGGAGCTTCCCCGCGACTCGACGACGAATCGACCTCACCGACTTCGAGGTCCATGTCCTCCGCCCACTGCAGGTACTCCAGCAGACCCAGACCGTGAGTCTGCTGGTAACCCCACACGCCAGGGAAGCCAGGACGGTAGCGGAGAGGACCAAGGGTCTGCTTCCAGTCCCACCAGGTCTTGTTGGTGTTGCCTTCGAGCATGTTGCCTCCGGGGAAGCGAAGAAGCGACTACGTCGCTGTTAACACGGAACATGTTGGCAAGGACTTGGAACATACCGGATGGAGTCCAGCAAGAGACTCGGCGATATCCACACGAAGACCGTTCTTGCGGTTCTTGTACGTGGGCGGGAACAAGCTGATTAGGTTAAAGTCGAGCGAGCCGTCTGCAGCGCCCTGACGAGATGTTACTACGAGGAGTAGGGGGAAGCAACAAGGCAGATGGACGTACCTCTGGATCAAAGGTGAGGGTAAAGGTGTTGTTGCTGTTCGGCGCATCCATGGTCGGGATGAGCTCAAACTCGTGCTCGATCCAGTCGTCAGCAACGGCCTTGGATGCCACATCCACCGAGCCAAAGACGTCGTCGTTGAGGTCAGACCGCAGCGAGGCGGTGAATGTACCCTCGTAGGAGCCGCGGACCCAGAACGAGCCCGTGTACTTTTGCTTCTTGACATCGATGCCCCAGTAGCCGTCGTTGGAGAGACCGACGACACCAGACGAGTTGCCGGCCGCCACGTGCACCGAGACTGGGAGGACGTCGGAGAGGGGCTCGCTCAGGTTGCTCAGCTGGAGGCTGGCGCCGTTGAACGCGTGCCAGCCGTCAAGGTTGACGGGGTAGCGGTCGCTGAACTGGAAGGCTCTGTTGCGGATGAGCTCGGCGTAGATGCCGCCGTCGCCAGAGTTGTTGATATCCTGGTACTGTGAGCTGATGCGCGGCACGGGCAAGACGAGCGCCGTGACCAACCTCGTGGAGGAAGCCATACTGGTGGCCGCTGGTAGCGTTACCTCCCGACGAGGCAACGGTGATGTCGAATGCGACTGAAGATGCTACGCAGGCAAGAGCCAGCAGCATCTGCTTGAGGGGCGCCATGTTGATATGGTGGATATCGGAACCTAGGTCAAAGCCGAGACGTGCCTCAGCAGTCGGCGAGGAAGCCAGCGCGTCTCTTGACGGTCTTTATATCCCTCCGGACCAACGTCATCCAGCTCGACAACGAGCTGCCAACACGGCCAAGACCACTGTGTACCGCCCCGCTCCCATATGCGGCCATGGCACCAGGACAATCGGCAGAAACCGACCGAAGCCTCTTGATTCGGTCGGCAGTACTCCGAGCGACGCATCCAATGTCGCTTCAGTAGTGAGCAAGGCCTCGCTGTGAGGGGATAAGGACGCTGTGACGGGTCCGGATAATTCAGGGGCAGCTAGGGTCCATGCAGGTAAGGTAAGGTACCTTGGCAAGCTTGGGCAGTGGGGGATGCCGCGGAAAGGCGAGGCCATGTCGACATGATCAACGGCCTTGCCAACCTGGTGCCTCACCTCCAACAGCTCCATATGCAAGGAACGGCCCGGCATCGTGAGGGGAGAGGAGAAAAAGCGGAGGGGGGGGGTAGGGCGGGGGACGAGGACGATCGCTCGCTGGGCCCTGGTCGAAGTCCCCAGACGCGCCACGGGTTCCCCAGATGCTTGATCATCTCGGTCATCAGGTGCCGGTTATCTGCCGGCGGAGCAGATCACACGACTCCCATTCGCGCGCTTCACGATGCGAGGCCTGCTCCCAGGGGGCCAGAGGCGAATGCCTGCTGGCGGGAGGACGACTTGGCACCGAACGATAGTGTTGCCCGATGTAACGGTCGACGGACTTTTTGGTGGCGTCATTTTCTTGCTTCTTCCCCGAAGAGGCGGATAAAATTGACAAGAGTTTCTGACTCGTCTGCGGGAGGGAAGCCCCGGATCGTCCACGAGGGCATGAATGAGATGGCCTCGCCATTTTGCCATGCCTTGTTAGTGGCTCGCTTGAATCATGGCATGATGCAAGTCTACAGAGAATACAGACAGAGCGATTCACCGGCCAAATGGCGAGCTCTTCTCATGGTGACGGCACGCCGAATCCAGGGCTTGACCACGTCGGCCTGCAACGAAACACAATCTGGGATACACGCCGACGCAATCTGGGATACACGCAGCCGACGCCAAATCCTCCCCCTGCTCCCTGGCGATCCTGTCGGCATGGAGATGCAGGCCTTGACAATGTTGCCCCGACCAACTACACCAGCACCAAAGCCCCTCCATTCTCAATGTCAAAGAACGCCGGCACCGCGTCCATCTTGCCCCCCCGCCTCTCCATCTCCGCCACCCCCTCCTCAAAAGTCCACCCCCGGAACCGAAGCAGCCAGCTGATGACGCCCGAATACGCCTCGCCCCCGTCGTGCGTCCGCGCCCAGTAGCGCACCCCCGTAGCCTCCGCGAGCGCCAACCCCCCCCGGACCCCCCTGCCCGTCGCCGTGCCGGTCCCCAGCTCGTCGAGCCCGTGCAGCAGCGCAAGCCACGCCGTCCCCTCGGGCGCGACCCTCGCCGCGTGCGCCGCCTTGTGCGCGTCGACGCCATGCGGCGCGTAGAGCAGCGCCTCGCCGCCCCACGACGTGACGATGCCGTGGTGGATGTGCGGATACAGCGAGTCCCGGTCCGGCAGCCGGAACATCCGCAGCCACGCCGGCACCGCCGCGACGGACCTCGTTCCATCCGATCCGGCTTCGACACCGACACCGGCACCGGCACCGGCACCGGCACCGACGGGCCACGACGCCGCCGCCGGCTCCAGGTCCGGCAGCTCGACCACCGTCTCAAAGTGGCCCCACCCGCGCACGAGCGCCGCCGCGTCCGCGACAACCAGCACGGGCGTCTCCCGCGGGAACCGCTCGAGCGTCGCCCGATGACAGTGGTCAATGTTGGTGTGCGACACCAGAATCGCGTCGACGCCCTGCCGCTGCTTCGTCGTCGTGGTCGCGTCCGCTGCCCGCTCGGCACCTCCACCTGCGGCCGCCGCTTCCAGCGAGGCCACGAGCCGTTCAATGTCGGCGACGTCGTCAAACTGGCCCGCCTGCGTGCGCACAATCTTGAAGAGAAAGGCCGTGTAGGGCCACTCGGTCAGGCTGCCGCCGAGCCAGAGGTCCTGGAGGACGTGGTAGTACGCCTTGCCCGAGGCGTCGGGCCCGCCCGGGCGCGGCAGGGACATCATCCATGAGTTGTCTGCGTTGAGGCGGGTGAGGATCGGGCGGAGCGGGGTGGAGGGCGCGAGGCTGTCGAGGAGGAGGTCTGTTGTCGCGTAGGCTGCCATGGTATGAAATGCTGACGATGGGCAAAGAGGACGACGTGCTGCTGAATCCGAAATGTCAACGTCGACGGCAAGGCCAAGTCGGTCATGGCCATGGGCAGCGTCGTATTTTAAGACCTTAGAGTTTCGCTCCTGCAAGGCCATGCTGCGACGGTCATCGTGCCTGATTGAGTTAGTGCTGATGTGATCCTTCGACAGACGAGGGACCAGTCAAGCATGCTGACAAGCAATCAGCCCTGGTCAGATTGGTACAGGCGACAGTGATCTGGTAGTTCATGAGTGTCAACAGCAAATGGCCACGCTGGTGGTCAGCCTGGTTAAGAGGAGTGTTTCTACAAAGCGGCATCTACCTAATCAGTGCTATCGTGGAAATGGGGGCATCGTGTATATGTAGTCGACCCCGTCTCAAACCTTGCACATGCTGGCCAGCTCGGCCGCCGTCCGCGGCAGCCTCATCATCGCGCGTCGAAAGCCGTTGACGAGGCCCGTCTTCTCATCCCTCCGCGTCCCTCCACCGAGCACAATACCACCCTTGCGGATACCAATCTGCTTCAGACTCTTGGCGACCGCCATGTAGTCGCCGAAGAACTGGTGCGCTCGGAAGTCACCCCCGGCAGTCACGCCGTGTCCCAGCGACACGCCCCAGTGTCCTCCGACGCGGAGTGCGTGGGCTGCCGGGTCTCGGTCAGGCTGGAGCACCACTGAGTAGATGCATCCTGTGTACCGCACAGCCGAGTCGGCCATCTGTGCGGGGAACCCCCAGCTCTTCGCATCTGCCGACAGCGGATGCCAGGGCGTGACCACGAGCCCCCCAACGCGACACATGACCTCCCTGCGAACAGGCGTGACCAGCACCACGGCGACGCGTCTCGGACCTCGGGGCGTGAGCACTTTGACGCCGTGTCTCAGCTGTCGGATCGGCACGCTGCGTCCGGATGCCAGCAGCACCGGCGTCGATCCGGCGAAGCACGGGTTGGAGGAGCTGTGATAGCGCCGCATGTTGATGGGCTTGCTGTACGTGCCCACTCGGTATCGGCTAGGCGTCGGTGGAGGGATGCTATCGAAGGCGTCGTCAAGGGCCTTGCGACAGGCGATGAAGAGCGGACTCTGGGCACCGTATTGAAGGGGACCAGGGTCCTTGAACGAGTTACAAATCTGGCGCGTGTGGGCGTTGAGGATCGAGGGCAGGTAATGGACGCCCCATTTACGGTAAAATTCGGCGTTGGTGATGGCGAGGGAAACCTGGCCCTTCGGCTCCGGTCCCGAGAGGTCTTGGACCAACGACTGGTTTTTCTGGTCGGTGAAGGTGCGCGCTGGTAGTCTGCTGATGAGGGCGTGCAAAAGGGGTATCTGGTCGCTAGCCTTGGAGACAGCTTGGTGCTCGCCGTTTTGCTGGCTTTCTTCGTCGCTGATGATGGGAAAGAGCGTGGACAGAAAGGCGCACATCTGAGATCGAGACTGGTGGTAGGCAATTTCAGCAGCGTCTAGCGTAGTCGGATCCGATAGGATGCCTTCGGCGCTTTCGGCGTAGGTCGTGCTGGTCATTTGTGAGTAATGGAGCTTGGCCTTGACCGATGGAGCTTTGTCATGTTCCAGAAGCTTGCTCCAGGCATCAGGCGAAGCGCAAAGATAGATGTCACGCGACTGTCCGTACTGAATGTTGCCGAGGGAGATGGTCAGTTGCGACGTTGGGGTCAGGGAACCAGCAAGCTCGATTGGTGCCTGTTTCTCAACAGAATCACCAAGACTCTCTTGAATGGCCAGCTCGGAAGGATACGTCAGCGTCAACGTGGCTCGATTTGCAAAGGTCGACTGCAGGTTGGCGACGGCGTGGACAAAGACTGTGCCCTGTGGCGATGCGTCAGTGGTGGCAATCGTTAGGCAGGCATCATGACTCACAATCATGCCAGCATCGGGGATGAAGGCATAGTTGCCTCCGCCAATTTCGGCGATGGACTTGAGCAGACCTGAGCGAATATGGTATCCGAAGCCAAATGTGTGAATCGTGGCCGGCAGCTGGCCCATGTCACGGAGCTTGGGAATGTACCCTAGTCGTGGACATCTAGACAAGGTTAACATGGTCATGTACATCTCTTGACTGGATACAGGAGGGCCTACCCTGAATTGGGCATTCCGTCTGTGAGAACCATCATGGCAGGCACTCGTCCCGAGGAGGAATCACAATCGCTAAAGAGCTTGATGCCTTCGGTGATGCCGTGCCACATGTTGGTCCCGTGCAGAGGCTGGAGGTTTTCAATCTTGGCCTTGGCCGAAATCTTGTTGTCGGGACTCATCTCGACCAGGGACAAGATGACCTTGGCATTGGTGGTAAATGTCACAATGCCGAGTCGATCGCGCTCGTCCAGTGTCTCGAGAATAGTTCGTGCTGCGTGCTTTGTAAGATCGAGGATCGAAAGGCCAGTGCTCTCGTCTTTCTGGCCAGGAATGACAGGCGCCGGGGCGGCGTCGTGCATGCTTCCAGAGACGTCGATGACGAGGACAATATCGCAGGGCGCACGAGGACTTCGCTTTCCGGACTGGAGAGCCTCTCGTGGGGTCGTAGGCGGCTCGACCTTGACAAGGAGGCCTTCTCGCGATGCCAAGGGATGGACCGAGAGGGTCAAGTCGTCGATTTCATCCTGGACAAGCGTGGCAGGTTCACTCGTGACTGACATGTTGTCGTCGGCCACGGAGGAGTCGGGGGTTGCAGATGAATTGCTGGTGGCTCTTGAAGAGGAGGAGCCTGTCGTCAGACGGGCGAATGCTCTGAGCTATGGTTGTCAGTTGGCGGCCAGGTCAATAGGTGAAGCAAGCAAACCCACCAAGGTCATGTTGGCGAGTGATCTTTGTCAGGCACAGAACAGCGAGGGTGCGGAATTTAATAAATCATACCAAAAAACACAGGCGCGACAGGTATCCCAAGTGGAAAAATGCAGAGAGGCGGCGTCACTAGATGTACTCACGATGCACTCATCTCCCCTCATAGCGGCCTCACTGGGGGCCTGGGGACCTGCCTACCAGGCTGACAGCCCCGGCACAATGACACATCGGGCTACGCAACACGAAGCGCTGACCAATAAGCGTGAGACTTTGTTACGGAAGGGTGGATGGTAGCCTCATTCGTGAAAGAGCTGAGGACTTTTGCGAGACGGATGCCTGGTATGGTCGACCTTCTTGGAGGCGTCACTTCACGGCTGCGGAGGTCTTGGCGCGACTGCGGCCAGCGGTGGTGCCTCACCATGGTCAATGGTCAATGAATGGGTGCCTCGTTGAACGCCCGGCGAAGCCTAGCGGCGCACGTCAGCCCTGTAGCGGGCCTAGCAGTTCGCCTGCGGCCCCCTGTTGGTGCGGTGTGGCCCAGGTCCCCCAATCCTCCTGGAGCACGCTGTGGCCATGTGCTGAGGGAAACCGAGAGAGCCGGGTTGGGATCCTTCTGGTGATGGTGTAGGGCCGGCGAGCTGTATTTGGCCTCGGGAAGGCAGCAGGAACCGTAGCGGCGGTGACTCAGTCTCAGGCTTCTTCTCCGTCTCTCGCGGCCGTCCTTCTGTGCTTTGCCTGTTCTGCAAACAGGGCCTTGCCTGTCATGCAAACACATTGGGCATTCTTGTCCGTGCCTTCTTTGAAAAGGCTCGGAGCACGGTCAACGGTGTCATCCGCTGGGATCAAGTGCCATGCATAGAGTTCCCCGCCATCACCCATGGCGGCCATGTCATGTGCATGGCCGTGATCCATATTGGCTTCTGCGGCCGAACAGCGTACGTCATAGGTTTCGGATCGTGGGTGGACCCTTGACGCGATGCTGCGTGGTCGAAGGACGAGCTGCGTGGTCGAAGGACGAGCCGCGTGGTCGAGGGCGAGCTGCGTGGTCGAGGGCGAGCTGCGTGGTCGAAGGCGGCGAGCCTGCGGAGGAATCAAGGAAAGCGAGGATCCAGGGACCAGAGGAGGCATTGGAGCCTGGGGTAGTACCCCACTGATGGGCGACGAGAAGGGACAGGGGTAAGGGTATCGTCGGAAGTTTGGATGTGAGACGACGGCGCAGAGGGAATGGCTCGAGGCAGTGTTGGGGATTTTGACTCGGAGCGATAGAAGAGTTGACGATACTAAGGGACGGAAGCCTGGTTCATTGCCGTGACACCGTTGGTGGGCTTTGACGGCACTGATGGTGGTGTCTGTACCGCTAGGCAGCATGCTCGGCAGCATGGGGGATCCAATGCAGGTCGTGAGACTGAGACGAGCAGCCAAATGCAGCCTGGTTGTGATGGCCAGGCAGCCAGGGTCTGGGAGGAGAAGAGAGGGAGATGCCGCTCGGACCACCGCTTGTGTCTCTTGAGTCACATGACGAAGCCTTCCATTGCCCCCTCTGTCTCCGCCTGGTGAAGGTGATCGATAGTGACCAATGAGAATGACTAATAAAGGCCGTCCATAACCTGCCATTGGTCTCCTTTCGCCTTGCCAAGGTGCATTGGTCCTTCCCAAGGCGCATTGGTCCTTCCCTCTGATCATTCCCATCGTGTGATGCATCTGGCGATCGTCCTTGAGACGACGTCGCCTTGACTGACATTCCCAATGACATTCCCAAGATTCCCAACGACCCTCCCCCGAATGTGCCCGACTCGAACGCATCCATCATCTCCAGAACTCGCCATGCCACCCTCGAGCACAGCCGAAACCATACACCCCGCACTACCCGCAATCCGCCTCTCAACGCTCGCCGCTAGTCACCGAAGCTCCAAGCCTCGTTGCTCTCGCTGCCTCTGAGTCTGAGTCTCTGAGTCTGAGTCTCTGAGTCTTGAAGCAGAGTCTCTGTCTCTCGCCTCTCACCCATGACTGGCACAGGCGACGGGGTGCCGTGCTTCACCTCTTCGGCCTGAACGACAGGTGCAACAATGAACTCAGCGTCTGGAAACACCATTTGCGCTCGCCACTGCGCATCTTCACCCATCGATCGCCAGAGATGATGCTCATGTCTCGGTCCCTCAGCCTCCGCCGCGACCTCTGGCGCCCACCACCAACATGAACATGATTCGCGCTACTCCACGATTTTACCCCTCAGGAGATCAGGAGCTTTTTCGCTTTCACCATGTGCATGGCCCCATCAGCCAATCAATGCCCTCATGCGTCGCCCGTCGCAGCCCTCTTGGCTCCTTGGCTCTGCTCGCCGCCAGCCGCACCGTCAGCTGCGTCCAACCCGACTCGTCCAAAGCTCGTTCCACAACCTGCATGCCGTTCCATCAATGCACAGACCTGCGTCCTGCATCCCAACCTTAGCTTCTACTGCCTTGTTAGCCTCCCTCGGGGGCCCGCCATCCATCGGCAGTACTAGGCCAAGGCCAAGGTCAAGGAGGACCAAGCCCAGCAACGTGGGGGATGAGGCCCCCCCTCTCCAATCCTCTCCTGCAAGCCGCCTGTCCAATCCGACGCCTCACAGTACCCAGCCGTCCGGTCTTGTCAGGAGGAAGAGGAGGAAAAAGGGTGGATCGGAGAGGGAAAAATAATATGGAACCGGGCCCCTAGGACCCCCCGGGCCCCCAGGACCCCTTGTGCGCAAACGCCAGGGTGCGGCATTCCCTGCATTACCTGAACCGTGAGGGTAACGAAAATGACGTCCGCCAGCCAGAGGCGGACAATCTTCATGTGTTTCGGCCCTCTCTCTGTCTCTTTCTGACTCTCGCGCGCTCATCATGTCCTCTGGCGCCAGGGATGCCCCTCCCGGCTGCGTCTGAGCCTCTCTTTCTGTCGTCTCTCCGGCCCCTGCTCCCCGGCCAGCCTATGCGACCGACACGATCTCCATGGGCGTTTGAGCTCGCTGGATTGGATGCGCTGTCATTCGCCACGCATGGCGGTGCTGTTCCCGGCCTGATCCGCGGACGGAGCTGGCTGCCTTCTTTTCCGTCTTTCTCATGGCGTGGTGTCGAGTCGAGTCTGGTGGTTGCCTCTGAGAAGTATAAGACCGATGGTTCCGTCCTCGTTTTGAAGAAAGCCGTCTGTTCATATCCTCTCTCTATTCCAACATCATCAACCCAAGATTCTTCCGCAAAACACAACCAAGCAACAAGTCGACCACAGAGCTCAAGCTACTACGCCCACGTCAAACAAGACCAAATCTCCAACCACCAAAACACCAAAACACCAAATTCACAATGGGCTGCCCTTCCTGCTGCAAGTGCGGAAGCATGATCGTCATCAGCAACTCGTGCCCTTCGTGCGGCCACCACGAGTGCACCACATGCCTCTAGAGTGAACGCCACACAACCAGACGAGCATGCAAGCACTGCTTTTTCGTCAGCTCCTACTTTGAGCCTCACGATGCACGGAGAAAAAGTTTGGTGCCACCAGATGAGACGACAGGAAATAGCCCGATGCCAGCCGTGGGTGACTCAGCCATGAAATCGACCAAGCCCGGTTATTTCCGAGACATCTCATGAGGCTGTGGCACCACTCGACTCAATTCAGGGTACTCACTCCTCAGCACTCGGAGCCCCCCAAAGTGCGGCTCGGCATGGCCTCATGGACGGTGCTTCGTTGCATGACATGACGACCTTTTGGCCTTCTCAGCGCGTGTACAACTTTTGCGATATCCTCTCTGCTACGATTGGCGTCTTCTGGCTTGGGTGGAATGGGGATGGATGGGACCAATCCAACACATGGCGCCAACGGCACGTCGTGACTGTGGCAGAACGTCTACAGGTCTCGAAAAGGCCCATGCGTAAACGGTTATCAGGTAGACCCAATACACTCCACATACTGCACCGTCTGTTGCCTAGTGATCTTGATGCCTCACGTAGCGTATAGGTGAACATGGGCAACGCTCAGCACTATTGCCGCCGCCCATGTCTGTCAGCCATATTCCGTGCGCCATGGTAGCAAAACCCCAAGGGAAGCGGGCGCCGAACCCCAAGGGAAGCGGGCGCCGAACCCCGAAATCCGATGTCCCCGGATGAAGCTGCTGGGAGCGCTAGTGTGCTTCTGACGACCAAGATCACCACGTCAGGCCGACCGCGTCAAACTCAATATCCGTGCTGGTGGAGACGATCCAGGGCCTGCAAGGTTCGAGGGGCTTCAAAAGGCGAACATGAACGTCGAGATTGAAACCAAGAGACTCAATAGTCAGATATCGGACCGTAACGCACGACGTGACATGTTCAAATCACGGAGCCCCTCGCCGACGACGGCAGCGCCTGTGAGGTCGGCATCGGAAACAGAGCACCAGTCCAGCGACGAGGACGCCGTTGCACTGCGCAAGCTGACGCGCAAAATCGACCTGCGCATCATCCCGCTCTTCATCTTTCTCTACACCATGACGTTCCTCGACCGCGTCAACATTGGCAATGCCAGGCTGTGGCACCTCGAGGCCGACCTCGGCATGGCGGGGTACGACTACAACCTCGCCGTGCTCGTCTTCTACATCCCCTACATGCTGCTCGAGATTCCGTCCAACATGCTCCTCAACCGCCTGAAGCCGCGCTACTACATCGCCTCGCTCGTCTTCCTCTGGGGCCGTACGTCCCTCCGGTCCCCTGCCTTTCCCTTTCCCTGCCTTTCCCTTTCCCTGACAACGGCCAGACTAACGGAGCGCCATCCAGTGACCATCACGCTCGCCGGCTTCTCGACGCGGTTCGCCCACCTCGTCGCGGCGCGCGTCCTCCTCGGCGTCTTCGAGGCCGGCATGTTCCCCGGCTGCCTCTTCCTCCTGGCCACCTGGTACCCGCGCCACGCGCTCCTCACCGCACCGCCCTCTTCCTGCTCGACAACGACATAGCCGGTTCGATCTCAGTGTCCTTCGAACGCGATCTCGTGCCAATGACCGCCGTCGACGACGCCTTCGGTCTGTCGCTGGAAACTACTAGAGTCCGAGACGACTTCAC